TAAAAAGATGGAGGTCTGAACTTCCATGCTTCTATAGGAGAAAATATCCCTTCTCTTCTCTGCAAAGCATTTAGATTAGCCTACCCTGCAAAAATCACAAAAGACATTAGTTCCATCTCAATTATTGCAGTTGGGTTCTGTTAGGATCTAAATTTATTTCACAGCAGCATGTAGTTGTGTGTTGTTAACACCTGACTGCTGAAAAGTACCAGGTTATTTCAGTGGGACCTTTGAATGATGTTTTCTAGTTCCTGCTAAAAAATAGTGGCTGGGCAAACAAAACCCCATGAGTGAAGTGCTGACAACATCTGCTGTCCTTACCTTTATCTAGCTGCAAATTTTGGCTAGAAACTCCTCACACGCCTTCCTTACCCCTCCTTTTTTGCAGGTCTGCCAAGAATGTATAAAGAGATTATTTCAGCAGATGGTGTTCCTCATTGTTATTCCTATTTGTATCCAGAGATTTTTGAGTCCATGGGTGCAAGAATGTTCATGCCCACTGTGGTTGTATTTCCACTTTGGCTTTAATTTCTAAGAGTCCGTACGGCCAACATAATCTGTGATACCTCCTAATTAATAATACTTGGAAGCATTGCTCTTGATGCTTTCAAAATTGTAATGTGTATCTATATATTAACAGGCTGTTTGTGCTGTGTTCTGAGTCTGTCAGGAGAAAGAAGAGAATGAAGATGATCTTTATAAGCTAGTAAAGAATGCTGAATCATAAAAGAGGATATACTAACCCCTACATACAAGGAGAAAAATGTTATTAGACCCTGCCTTTTTCAGTGCCCATGCTGGAAGGTGGTCATGGTTACTGTAAGAAGAATTACTTTGCAAGAGATTGTTCAAAAGCATAGTAAAGACAGAAAAACTGGCAAGGTATTTCCCCTATATGACTTGCCCAAGTCAGTTTAAGCAAATCTGAAAGAAAAGTACCTCTTCTAGTATTATTATATATTATAGAATAATAATTATTATTACCTAGCCTGTGTCTTCTGCAAGTACAACAACATATTTCAGATCATTTATATGAGAGTGCATGCAAATATGTGTCTCTAAGTGTTTTAAATGTCTAAATTCCCACTGTAGTAATATTAAGATATCTAGAACGGTATTCAGGTGCATAGGAAAGTATCCACTACCATGTGGAATACTCCTAAGGGCATCCATACAATCCTATTTGTCTGCTGAATTTCTCTGTAAAACAGAGAAAATAATAGTTGAAAACCAATCTACTGATATCTTTGAAGGCCTCCAATAAATGGACTACCAGGGATAAAAATAATTGTCTTTTCAGGAGTGTATGATGCATGAGAAGTGACAGGGACACAAGAATAGAAATTACTGAATAGGTGTTATGACCACATCATCTACCCTGTGAAGATGTGTGTTTCTTTAAAATAGAAATTTAATACTGAATCATAATGCATATGTTGCATTGGTAGGACAAAAAGGGATGTTTCACTACAGGATATAAAATCCGCATCCTGGATTTTGTCTCTGTTGCAAAATTGCTATTCCCTCAGTTAAATGTATGGGTTATATGTGTCGAAGTTGGCTTTCAAACTGTTGCCTAATGCTTTTTAAATAATGCAACAGGCCTAAACTTTGAATGTTTGGCCAGAGGCACATTTTGCCTCCAGGCAAGATACAACAGAAATTATTTAATTTGGTTTATTTATCCTAACACCCTGACGTATGCAAATGAACTCTAATATCCCTCTATTATAATATTCTATTGAGAACATAAAATCTTCTTGGTTTTAAAGGTGTTGATTTTAAAAAAATTATGAACTGTTATGATATAAAGTATGTATCTTTGGTAACCAGTTGCCTTCTCTATCTTCATTCAGAGGTTGCACAGTATTGCATCTAAACATATGCAGTTATGAAAGGGAACTGGATTATGACATATGGTCTATAAAATGTAGCATTGCGGACTGAATCAAATACAATAGCTATGGTGGTCTTCAGGATCTGACCTTGCAATATATTATTCAAGATGCAAATGACTGTCCATGTGGCTAAACTATCTAATTGCTAAAGAAGTTAGCTTTCTAATGCTACATTCTTAGAATAGACTAAAAAACTAAGAGCTTGGACCTCCTCAGGTCTTCACTTATGGAAGAAACAAAAATTATTCTGTCCTTTCATCTAAACCATCCTGACAGATAAGTGAAGAATTATTTTCAAATCTTTCCATTTGGAAATGACAGCTACATTTCAACACCATTATGTGCCTTCAAGCTGTGTCTCTCTGCCTACCTAAATCTTTGTTCTAGGTTCTGTCACATTTTCAGCAATTCAGAGTGTTCATTTTAAAAGATGCCAGATTGGGCACAGGCTGTTGGAATTCATGATACTGGACAGGGTGAAGCAAGAGAATTTTGAATGAATCCTTTTTCTAAGTCAAAATTTGAACAGACTAATAGAAGACAAACCTTAGCAGTCCAAGACCAGACTAAAGTATCTCACTATAACATATGTATGCATGCATATGCGTTTTGCAGATATTTCATTGCAGAATGTAATTGGTACTCTTTAAGACTCTGTTATTTCTTAAAAGCTCTGAAGGTATTTCATTTACATACTAGGGAATGTTTTGCTATTTATTCCAGGTATTTGCATTGTGTGCAGTGGAACTCCCTACAGACTCTGAATTGCTGGGTGTTAAGTGGAACAGTCCTTGCATCCTGCCTGCATGCAGAGAGTAATTTGTGAGCAAGGAATTAAAAGCCTGGGTTCTAATATAACAGCTGGCAAATCAACATTGTGTTTCATTCATTCAATTAAACTACACAGTACGATTTTGGATTTGGTCCAAGTCATATCCTGGAAGAATATGAGTTTTTCACTGAGAGTTCAATGCAGTCCTCAGTGACTTGCAGCTATCAAATAAACTGCAGCTCCCCCAGTCCTGGAAGATTTATGACCTTCACTCTAAGCTTGACTACAGCTGTTAAGTCCAGAGTTTTAGAGGGCTGAGCCTCTGACATTCATTGAGTAGATGGGCTGTATTTGTCAAGCTGACTAATCTCATATAGAGTTGATGTGAATCATTCTTCAAAGTACTGTTAAAAGATGCTGGATGTCAGACATGAAACAGGTCTGTCATCACTTGCTCCAGTGACAGGCACATAGGAGCAAAATACTCTGAAACATGATAACAACTTAAAATATTGGCAGGTACAAAGAGAAGAAGAAAATTTACTTTTTCTTTCCCCATACAAACTGAAAGGATACATATCAGCATGCTATGGCAAGTGCCTCTTCTTCCCTTATGGGCCAATAAAAGAATTCATGCTACATGATCATGTCTCTTTATGTTCCAGAGGACTTTGCCCAGAGTCTCTTTCCCTATATGGACTCCATATTAATTGCTTCAAGGAATTATTTACCATGTATTCCCCCAAAAATTATCCCAACCCAAGCCTCCTAGCATCATCGTTGCAGAGTATTTTTTGTTAGATGCTGCTTTTATTTTTCAAATTACTTGCCTCATTTCTCTTTGAACTGATTTGAGACGATTCACAAGCAGAAGTCTAAAGGGAGTCTGTGCATATGTAGTTTCATTTTCCTAACATATTGTTAAGGCATATCAAGATAAGATCTAGAGTCTGTATTTCAAAATAATTTCATACAGTTTTCTTAAGTCTGCAGAGTTTTCAAAGATAAACTCTTCTCCTAAAAAAATAAAAAATCCAGTTTTCTTTCACATAACTTTAAATAGATTTATAGATCCCTTCCATGTTTCATTATCTACTCTCTGGAATTACCTACCTGTTGTTTTGTCAATTACAGGTGAACTTTTTCTGTATACACTGTACATACATTTGAACAACAGATGCTTTCATTGTTGATATACCTGCTAACATCTTTGTTTACTAAAATAAATAATCAAACATACAATCAAGCATAAGTTACTAGAAGAACATCAAGAAAACAGAATTTGTTAGTCTGTGCTAGACAGAAGCCAGTCTTTGGGCCATGACCAGATTTAAATTATGCTATCAGAAATTTCCATTAATATATGCTTTCAAACTCCATTATACATTGTCACAGTACATACAGACATTGTCGTTTCCATGGGAATACAGAAGGAGAAATGAAGACATTCCCATTGCTATCAGCCAAACTTCTTAGTGCCCTCTCAGCCTATGTCATCTACTCTTTCAATTTCGTAAACTTGTGTTTCACACATCATTTCTCACAGAGAAAGAAGGTACAGCTAGGATGTGGATGGAATATGATGAGAGCTTTCTTACCAACAATAAGCAAAAAGCTACATTATTTCATGATTTTTCATGAGAGTGGACTGGCTACCTGAAAAAAAAAAAAACCTTCCTTCTGTTTTATCACCTGTTTTATCTGCACTTCTTCATTGATGATAACCTGGAAGCAGAGATAGATTTAACAGGAGTTGTTAGTGATTTTTAAAATAGTAACAACAGGAAAAATATTAATTTAAATGTCATGATTAAAACATCTACTTTAATGAAAGGAGGAAGTTGTCAGACCTGCCTGATTTAGCTTTGATTTATCTATGTGGTATTGTATAACAAGTTTGGTGCAGCTTTGCACAATAAACTCTAAATACCTTAGATTTTCAGAACTATAAGATTGGACTTCTTTAACTAATCAAATCTGATCATGCAGTGAACTTGAGAGTTAGATAGATTTGCTTTGTTGTCTTCCCTTCAGTTCTTGCAAGTTCCTACTATGGCTGTTTGATACATACCACGTAATTTGTATTGACGTGAGTCATTGGAAACATTAACATGTGAGAACAGGGAGGAAGACCCCTTATAGGAATTTTTTTCTTGCTTAGTGAAAAGTGAACCAAAACTTCCAAAAGGCAGGAGAGAAATTGCCTTAGCAGCAGATAAAGGACAATTCATAAGACAGCAAACACCCCTCTTTAACTTCTCTGAGAAAAAAGACTGAATAAGAAATGTGCCTCTGACTCTGACTTCCTTTGTTCATTCTATTTTTAACAGAAATTATGGGATTTCTGAACATCTGGGCATGCATGAAGGAAAACAAGTGGAGGAAGACTGGTGCAACTAGCAAAATGAGAACATCTTCCCTTTTGCTGGTAAGGAAGCAGTGAAGAAAACAGGAATGACAGAAATCCCTATGCTTGTTCACTTTCGGTTCCTAGTGTTTGGTACCATCATCTTTTTTTCTCTTTTCCTCTCAGGCTGACCTGTATTAAATTTACAGCCTCAACCTAGTAGTGTTGTAGTAGTCTGGGCAGGAGGAATAGTTATTTGACACATGATGGAAAGGCAGTCACATGGAAAATAGGAAGCCAGTTTAGTGAGTCTAGGACTTGAGAAGCTTGGGCCAGGGTTTCTCTATGATAGGAAAGTGCAGCTGTTGTTAATCACTACATGAATCCTTCTTATTTAGTGCTAAGAATAATTTTTAGCTAACAAGATAGAAACTACACAATGCCTTTCCTATACACTTTACACGTTTGATACTGTAATTCTAACATTTTACCCTAGAGTGAAGTGTGTTCCTGACAGCAGCTGTGATGAAAGCTGACATCTGGAACCTGAGTCACATTTACTGGAGAAATCTAGGAATATATGCCTTCCTCTGTGTGTCTTCAGTAAAAAAACAAAAAAAGGATGATCCCAACTGTGAACAAGGGATTTCAAACCTGCTAGCCAGATTCTACTAAAAATGCCTTTGTTTGACAATCTGTCTGCTTAGTTTTGGCACATAACTTGCAGTGAAACTTTAGGTGCTTAAAGAAGTAAGTTCCCACTTTCTCTCTACAGTCTGTTACTGGAGAGAAGCCACATGGTTAAGTCTGTTTGCTAGTTTTAAACAATACTTCATGTGTCTAAAGTTGGGTAAAATAGGGTCACCATGAAGAATTTTAATGACACCTTCTTGTTGCCAAAGAAGAGAACTTTCTGTGGAAGCATTCTAACATTTGGAAACATGTCAGGCACAGGATGTCTGCCTGATGATAGCATACCTCCCATTTTACACCGCCCAGAGCTAACCAAGGAGATTCCCTTCCTTATCTTCCAGTTCCCCATAGCCTTTCAGAACCCCTTGTTCTTTCTTTTTCTGCATCCAACTTCTTCCCTACTATTTTCTCCTCTTGACTTGCTTGTCTGTTTCTCATCAGCATTTTCTCCCTGCTGTCTGTGCTCCTTGCTTCTTCTGATCCCCAGCTCCTTTAATGTCAAAGTAGAGACAAGTGCTAAAACTGCTCTCATCATTAACACTTTTTGTAACGTTTTTTTGGAAAGAACTGCCAGCATACAATTTACTTCACAGATTTTCAGATGTCTGAAGGCCATCCATCTGCAACTGATAACATTCCATGATGGAAGGTCCAACAAATGTAACTTGGTACTTTCTAGAGACAGTATGCAGAAAAGTTAATGTTTTCTTTTTGGCTTCAGTGATGTCCTGCCCTTTTCACAGAAGGAAGAGAGTATATTATACTTTCTCTGGGGCACCTGGCTTAAGCTTATATCTGCAGGCTGTAGACTGTTGCCTCTCACAGAGCACTGAGCTGTAGGCAGTCTGTCCAAGCACCCTGTGGAAAGAATTAATACCTGGTTATGAACAGTCCATCCTTAATGGAAAACACAGGTGTGTGAGAGTGGCTTTAAAAAGTCAGATGTCATAGGTTTGATTCATACTTAAATACCACAAAACATTTCCCACTGCAACACTGATATGGAGCAGCAGGAAGGCACAGTAACATGCTGCTGGGGCAGTCTCCTGGTATGAAGAAGACTGTCAGACCTGGTCGATCCCAGGTCGATCACTGAAAAGATTTCTTTGCTTACCTGCTATTTCTTGTATTTTTTGTATGGCTGGGAATCACAGAGTAATTGAATATATTTTGGTTGTATTCTCCATCAGCCCAGGAAAGGACCGGTTCTGCACTCATCTCCTACAATCACAGCACTAGACAACAATGTATTACTTAGAGCATCAAATGAAGGAATTTAATGAAAGTCATTATTATTTAATATGAGCTGCAGCCCTATGAGACTTCTGCCAAGCCCAGTGAAGAAATCTTTCATGATCTCTTCCAAAGTCATAAAATAAACTAATAACTATTGTCTGACAGTTTTTGAGAGGATGATACTAGGTATGGTTAAAAATTAACATTTTAATGAATAAGTTTGCATGAGAATTATTTACATTTAACCAATACTAAGATAGGAATGAAAGGGAAAATAATAAAAATGGGTGCAATATGATAGACTGAGAGAAATATTCCTGCCAGTGTTAATATAGAAAACAGTTCAAGATCTAATAAATATTATTAAATATAAATAAAATATGTTATCAAGTAGAGAAGAATCTGTAAAACCTCTCTGTAGCATGTCAGAAACAGGTTGAAAACCACTGACCTGCCTTAGCAAAGAGATCAGCCATAAGTAAATTGGAACATTGGTAATAGGGAGGTGACAGAAACTTGTGAATTAATTATTTTGTGAATTTTCAAGGTCTCCTAAATAATGAATGATATTTGAAAGATTCCTTAAATCCTGTACAGGATTTAAGCACTATTTCTAGATACTTTAAAATGGAAAAAATATTTTAATAGAAGAAAAGCACTAGCTCACAGCATCAAAGCCCCTACTAAAAGGAGATCTTGTGTTCCTGTAAGACATTGGGCTTTCAGTATTTCAGCAATGTTATGTCTTTTAGTACTCTTGACTATATTAATAATTTCTTGCAAACCTGTTGTATATAATCTGACATCTATTGACAAAGCAGGGGAGAAGTAATAGGATTTCAGAGACAGCAGGAGGTCCATAAGGGTACAGGACTGGGAAAATGAAAGGCAAGTGAATAGATGAATGGAGAAACATTGGGAGGAAAATAGGGGGGGAAAATAGAGAGAACAGTGAACACAGCAGGGGACTGTGCTTTGAAGAAAGGAAGTGCCATAAAAGCAAATGAGAAAAAGCAAAATGAAAGAAGAAGGGAAATGATTTGGCCAGGTGAACCTAATCAGAACAGTCAGAAAGATTTGGATTTTCTTATTAAGCAGAGACTTCAAGGGACACAAAGCCTACTAAATGGCTCTCTGTCATCTGTTTTGCAGGTATACCTGTGGGAAGAAAAAAGTAGACAGGACAGAAGAAAGTAGAGAGAGCAGGACAAAACTCATGTTCCCTCTAAGTGGTTTTTGGCTTTCACGGTTGCAGACTGTACAAAAAGTTGCCCTAAGCATCAACACTCACTCAAAATTCTGCCCCAGGTGAACTGCAGCTCAAGCTGTTATAGTATCCAAGAGGGAATTTAAAAGTCAAGTCAAATTCAGGGTGTTCCTTATATAATAGCCTCAATAATAGCTTTATTAGCTATTGAGATAGCAAGCTGCTTTCTGAGTAGTTAATAACTGATTGTGTCATTCACAATATCCCTTCAAAACATTTCTGTCCTTTTACTTCCAGCGGTAGAAACAACTCTTTTCTGTATTCTCTGCTAGCTTTTAAGACAAAACACATCAAGATCATCTACAAAGTAAGAGCCAGCCTATCAAAATAATCTTCATGTATTCTTTTCAGAACAGACTGATTCTCTGCCATTCTGGTTACCTGTAAGAATGACTAATAACCTTTGCATGTTGATCATGATGAATGCTAGTTTTTGGGGTTTTTTTAAAGTGGAAAATTCCTGAGAGAAATGTACCTTGTAGAGCTTCCACTCACACTCTTGGATACTTCAGGCACTCTGGTAGAATTTCCCACAGCAGTAAGGGGCTATGTTTCAGAGATTTAAAATAATGTCAGTGTCAATACATTAAGGCAGTGGTGTACACGATCACGGCCCTTCTAGATGCCTACGTGGTGTTTCTCTGCAGATGGCTCAGTCACTTTAAAAAAAAAAATGCTGAATGTGACAGTACCTGCCACATCAACTATGAAAAGTGGATTTGGCAGCTCAAATTCTTTGATACTGTAACTCCAGGGGAGGGAAAGTAAGCTCTAAGATCTGTAAGCTTTAGCAGACTTGAGGCATCAAATCTCTTTGATTCGGCTCAAATGTTATGCGGCTAAGCAAATTCTAGTTTTATAGTTTCCAGACAATTTTGCCTCTCTCAGCTTTCCAGCTTAGATATTCATCATTCATGTCTTTTGTGTGTATTACAGTTTCCAATGGACCATGATAGTGTTTGAGAGCTCCCAGTGCGAGAATTTGTATGGCTCCTTATTTTGGCTGTACAAGGTACTGAGCTCAGCAATGTTTTCTAAGTTTGTAATACCTGTTATCTTACCATTCGATTTTTTGTGCACACAGCCCATGATATTCCTTACACTTCAGCAGCAAACTAATGTCTAGATGAATTCCAAAAATTCAATTTCAAACTTTTAATTAAAAAAAATACAAAATACTTCAATTTCAAAAATATATAAAATGTCAACTTTTTCATTTCATTTACTAGCTTCCTGGATAAACATATGCAGACCACTATTCGTGTGAATATAGCTGTTTCTTCAAAAGGATTATGGAGCCATGGAGCCAGTCTCCTAAAATAATATTGCAAAATGCAATTCTGAATTCTCTTTTGATTGATTATATTCATAGGCTTAGCAATGATTCAGCCTGATCAGTTTGATTGAGCATGATGCCAGGATTTTAGACCACTATGAAGACACAGTCCCAACTGTTTGTACTTGTTACAGTCCCATAGTGAAACTTCATTTAATAGCTTGTGGCTATTCAGAGAACATGTAAATACTGTTTAAGTGGACTCAGTGGATCTGAGATAACTTACTCAGGAGCTGAGTAATGCACTACAAGCTCACCATCTCCAAATTTTCACTCTAAGATAGCAGCAGACTGAGGAGAACACAAACGACAGGATGAGAGCTCGGGTATGGGTTACTTGTGGCTGTCAAATAACTTATGCTTATCAGCAGGTCAAGAACTACTACTGTATTGTAGCCATACTATCTTCTGGTAAATGCACAAGAGGAATAAACTGGCTCTGTGTTATGGGAGAAAAAAACCCAAAAAAACCCAAACATCAGGACCTAATTAGACTAATACTACCAGATTATCCTGCAATGCATGGTAGTGCTGAGAGAGAACAGTGGGACCCCTTGGGAGCCTGATCTCTCCCATTAGTGCAATGCCCCCTGCAACTTTCATCTTGGATCTCTGTGAAATGTGCTATTTTCCTGCTGATTTTGCCCATATGAACAAGAAAACGTGGGCTGGAGGATCACGAAGATGGTCTGCTCTTCTAGCTTAGATGGGAGTAAAAGGGTAAAACTTACATGTGTCAATGGAAAGGTTCTCACTGACTTCAGTGTTTGCTTTGCTGGGGCTGTGAGTCAGAATGACACATAGATGGTGGGGATTTAGTGATCTCTTGTGTTTCCTGTCTGTTCTAAGCAATTATCTTGTTTAAATGAATTTAGGAAACTCACTCAGCAGCTTGCAACTACTTCAAGAGGAAATATGCAAGACAAAGCCCCTCATTGATTTGCTTGTATATAAATACAGCCTTAATAAAGTACAGTTTTCTTGCTCTTAATAGCATACTGCTGATGGAAGAAAGGAAAGGTATAAACTAATTATCTCCTTTTCTTTGTTTTTTGCTTTTCTTACTGCAGGTTGCTGAAATGAAACAAGTAAAGTTTTGCCTCGTAATGCAATCTGACGGACAGCAAGGTTTGAGGCACTGAAGCACTATGAGGAGGTGAGAAAGTAGGGTCTCCTAATGTCAGCAGAAGGAATATACATGTTCTGTTGAAGGATGAAAAAAGAAACACTCAAGCTTACACTTATGCTCCTAACTGATGAGTCTAGGAGTCAAAAAAAAGACAATATTAGGGGGAGTTAATAATCTTTCTTAGATCAAGTGACTTAGCTACAGCCAATGAACAAATTACTGTCTTAAAATTCAGTCAGAAAGCTCCAGAGATACTGAGCAGTCAAGGCAAGTAAGAAGCCCTGGGGTCTCATTTCATTCTTCATTGATTTGTATGAAGTGCAGAGGTCAGTAAGGAGTGAATTTTGAGCCTCTGCAATCCTGTAAACCCTATTTTAGAGACTTGAAAGAGATAGCAAAGGAAAAAATAAAAGACAGAGGCACTTTTTTCCCCATTCTCTTCCCTAATGCTTGACAGAGATCAACATGTCATTTCATCTCACAATACCTTCCTGATTACATGACTTTAGCAACAGTTTTGTTTCCTATAAATCTCCAGATGTTTTGTGTTGCTGTACGAAAATATTTCTGCAGTTCTTTCTGTTTGTGCTGCCTCCACTAATGAGTTCTCAGAGGTAGATTAACCTTAATAGCTTTATAAATGAGAGGTGTTGAAGGAGGCTTCTTAGTTAGTGCAAAGGGCTCGGGAATACATGTAAAAAGCCTTCTCCTCTATTTTCTCTGTTCTTCTTCCACAGAATTTTCCTTTTTGAGGGAAAAGGGAGCTGCCATTCCCATTAAGTGCCCAGCCTAAATTTGATTGGACAGTGTCATCTTTTCTTGCTGAGACCCACAGTACTCCAAGTATCATGTATGCCCACAAGAATAAAAGTCTTTCAGCTCTATTCCTATTTTCCCTCATCATTTTATTGGTGCTGGGGAACATCAGCTATCTAAATAGTGAAGAGGAATTGAGAATTATAAGGAACATAAGCAGGCATTACAGCAAGTTAAAGGAATCGGATGTCTCTGGGGCTCTGATGTTGTTAATTTTCCAAAGTTCTTGTTTAGTTCTGAGACAAAAATAAGTATTCATGCACAAGTTGGCATGCTAAAGTCAGTGTAAGTGTTCAGCCAGAAGCTGTGGTGCAGTATCTAAACTGAGCTTTGTTCTCCTCATTAATATCTGGCCTACTGTGAAGCAAGGAAGTGAGGCAGAGTTCCTCAGGCAAGACAGGGATGCATCTAAATGGCAGAGGATGACAGTTTTCTCCCTATGGATGGATCCTCCTGTATTATTTTGCCTCTTTTAACTGGTGGCAGACAATATGAAGGAGAGAATGTAGCTGTTTGTGTGTTCTTAACAATCATGCATCATCACTGTATGGTGGTAATTGAGAGTGGAAACCAAAATAGTTAAAATGGCATCATTGGACAAAGCTTGATATTAAAGCTTCAGCAGATGTGGAACTTTTTTGTTCAGCCCTTTTTTCCATTAAGAAAATCGTTGGCCAACTGCTGGAAAACCATTTAGTGCTGTGGGATGACATTTTGTGTTCATTTTGTTCAGCAGCAATGATTTATAAATTACTGTGACTCTACATATAAGACCCCCTATTACAAAATACCACCCCAATCCTTCTTCCATTGTGGTTGATATAAAAGCTCTTATTGGTTTTAATGTGTTCTGTATAAAGCCCTGTGATTGTAGTGGGGAGTCAGGAATAATTTATGCCACCTACTGATCAACTAATACTCTCTGGTGGTTTTTTCTTTGTGTTTGGAATAAGAGAGCACAGACAACTTCCATTTAAGATAATTTAACTGAAGATTGCTGACTGAGATTAAGCTGTGTGGAGTGTTTTCTGGTGTTCCTATTTGATACTGGATAATAGTAATAATAACACTATCTTGTAATTTCTGCTGTCATTAAAGTCTTTGAAAAAATATGAAAAATGAGCTACATATTTATGACTTTCTTGAGCAAGCTTATTAAAAATGTTTGTCAATAATGTTAAACTGTGAGGAAGAATTCTGACAGGTTATTTAAAAGAACATTTAAGGCTTTCATTAAAATTACTTTCAGTTGTCTGAAGTTCTAGAGTTATTCCATGAAGACGTTGAATTCAGCACATAGCCTACTCTCTTCTTCTTAAAAAAAAACAAACCCAAAAAAACAACTAAGTCAAACCAGAAAAATTTATCAACTTAATCCTATAATTTCCAATGTGGCCTTCTTCCTTTCAAAAATATATTATTGACTCATGAAAACTCATTATGTGTTCTCTCCCCCATCTCACTTTTGAAAGTGCCAGTGGCATATGCTGTCCAATGGGACAACAAGGACCCATCTGTTGTCTATAAGGCCCATCTGTAGTTGTCACCCTTTATACCTTGCCAGTATCTCCAGCTGTTGGATTAAGGGTGGTACAGGGTATAACCCTGCCTCTCCCTTTAGTATCTGTCTATGCAAGCGGTTTTCATGGATTTGTCTAATCCCTTTTTGAATCTGCTATTATTATCTGCCTCGACATTTTCTATGAAAACTAATTTCATACCACCATTTTGCTCTGTAACAAAATATTTTGCATTTACCTCTATGTTGAACCAATTTTTCTACTTTCAGTAATTGACCCTTACTTCCTGTATTGCAAGATTTAGCAAATAAGATTTTGCACTCAGGTTAACCTTCCATGACTTTTCAAAGATTTCAGTCACATTTCCCTTTTGAAGTCTCAGCCCTTTTAGCCTGTTCTCACAAGACATTCAGTCTGTCATCCTACTCATTTTAACTGTCCTTACCATTACCCTCTTTAAACTCTGTTATGTCTCTCTTAAAACATGGAGATTTGCAGTTTTCTATTTATCCAGCCTGAACGTCGATGAAAGAAATCCTTAAACAGAACTTAGACTACTTTTTTCCCCTGAATTAGGATTTTTCAATCTCTTGCAGAAACATGTTTCCACTGTTAAATTTGCAGCAAGGATTGTCTAAATAACAAGGATGACGCAAAATAGGGCTAAGGAATAAAAAGAAGAAATGTAAATATATGCACTGCTTTTCATGTTCGTTTTTGAGTTCAACTCAAGATGGTTCCTTGTGCCCTTATGTTTCTCAGCGGGGAAAAAAAATTGGTAAAATATTTTGAAACATATTTTGCTTTTTCAGAAACTACAAGACAGTCAAAAGTCAAAGCTTCTTATTTTTTTGAAATCTCTAGGGGAATTTTCGTCACCTAGATTTGAACACAGTCCATGGCTGCAAATATTTGTCTATCATTAATATTAGTTGATCATATAGAGTATAGTACTCTAATAAAATGAGATGCAGTTATGAGATTGAGTAGTTCTCAGGAAAGTTCATGTGTATGCATATACACATCCATTTTCTAGACAGTCTCTTTGAAACATTCATCTTCCCTTTTCCAGAAACATCATGTTACCTGTCTGAGTAGCTCTCCAGTCATTTATATTTGTACTGTTTTGCCTTAGTAATTTGCAAACAGAGCACTGAAATCCAAAGAGAATTAAATCCTCACAAGCGAGTTAGGAGCATGATGCTCTCCAGTTGTTTTGTGGGAAATGAAAAGAAAGTGCGTCACTAAAAAAATCTCTGAAGAGGAAACTATTTCTCTTTGCCACCAATTGAGCTATTGAGTTCAATTATATGTGGAAGAACTGGTCTGTAACCTCATAAACATTTTTAATCTTGTTTTAAAACCAATAAGCAGGAATTAATTTAACACACAACTTGGCAGAAATTAATTCAGTGATTAATTACTCAGTTACATTTATTTCATCCTGACATTTTTTTTTCGTTCTCATTTTCCAACTATTTCATATTATATCCCAGAGATGAGTAAGCCAGTTTTGGAAAAACAAGAATTGCTGTCAAGTTCAACTTTGCAATTCTTCAAGGAGAATCAGGGTTCTTTTAGATCGAGAATATTTTTAGGAAATGGTATAATGCTTATTTTTCACTCTGTTTACACTTTGTGGTCTCTGATATTTGGACATTGATTTAAAAATAATAGTGATAAAATATGGTTTTGCCAAAACCACTCATCAGCTAATAAAACTGATATTCAGATTAAAAAAATCTGGTTTTTATTGGTATGTAGATTTTATTTTTTAAATATTCTAATATTCTATTCAGCTGGAAAATTATTTGTCATTTTATATATATGAATAAAATGACAGCTAGCCCTCTGAATCAAGAAAAAATAAATCCAAAAATTTCTTTTTAAGAAAAGGCTGTAACTGAAAGGGTGAAAGGGTGTCTCATAGATGGCAATCAAGCTTCTGCATCATTCTTATCAGCATCTCAGTGAGATGGGTTCAGAAATTCCAGTGGAGCACAGCCTGGAGGCCCTTGCTCTTGCTGTGTCTTCAAGATTGATAAAGATAAAACTTGTGAGTATGCCAAGTCAGCCTCTGGATCCTTCTGTGATTTCTTCTGGAACTAACAATGCTACAGTTAACTAAAGAGGTTGAAATCCCATTCTTGAGTGTGTTGCCTTTTAGTGACATACCCTTCAAGACCTTTGTGCTGAATAAGCTAGTTACATGATAAGGATCTGTTACTGTGGATTATTTAGTGGATATGTTAAATTTCAATTCAGAAGGAGGAAGCATGAAAAACATATCAGCAACTATATGACACATATTTTAGAAAAAATATGATGGATCATGTAATGTCAGTCGAAGCAATGCACAAACTCCAGCTTTCCCTCTTGGAGCAAAAATAACTAGGTGTAGCTTTCTTAGATACAACTGTCAGTAATCTCTTTTGTAACAAAATTAAAATTCCATATCTGTGAAATTGCTTCACACCACCAGGACATTTATGAAATAAGATTAATATAAAGCAAACCTCACAATGGATCTGATTTGGCAAAGTAGTTACTGGGTTTTGCTGCCCTATCAGTGAAATTTCCTTTTACAAGTGCTGGAAAACTTGAATGCCTTGTGGCTTAGAAAAACAAATATAAACCTACAAGAATCATAAAGGAACATAAACATTATATGTTACAAGTTTATTTTTCAGATTTTTTGATAGGGAAGGGAAGATCTTTGGGTATTTGGCAAGTTCTTACTCCTTTTTGTTTCATGCCTTCCTTTTCGCATCATCTTGCTTTTTCCTTTTGTATAAAAATGCATAAATAAAACAGGGAAACTAAAACCCCATTTCTACCTCCAGACTAGTTACCAAAATTGTATTTTGCTCATCCTCTCAGGAGCTGTTGGGGTATTTTAAAATGGAATAGGTTTAAAAGAGTCCTGGTGATCAGCACTTTGTCAGCCAGCTAGGATACAGAAAATCTGAATCCTGCTACATGTTTTAATCAAAATTTATGCTAAATAAATAGCAGCAAATAGAGTCCACTTCAGCTCAGGATAGTGGGCCAGTGTGTCTCAAAGATACTTGGGTTTAAATTTTCTGTTGTAAAAAGTGCAAGTGAATCCAGTTCCTCTGAGTCTTGTACATGCACATTATTCATATTCACATCCTGAATAAAGGATGTTAGTATATTATTTGTCTTTAGTAAAATCATGGTTCTAAATAAAAATTGATTTGCATTTTCTTTCAGGTCTGATTTGTAAAATACATATTTTCAGGACGGGCACACATTGTTTGGCAGACTTAATATGCTTCAGAATATGTGCAGCTACAAGAGAATTATGGTGGAAATGAAATGCATTACTCCAACCATGACTGTGGAAATGATTGCAAATCATGAAACCATGTACAGTGTTACTGCAAACAATCCAAGCATACATTTAAGTCTTTTGCTCTTCTGAATATGCACATACACCAGAATTTTATGTATCGAGATTAAAAAATTGATCATAAATGTCCAAAATTAATTTTAAGATGTCCTTTTTCTTATAGATTCAGAATGAAAGGAATGTAAAACTGACTGTTTATTATTATGAATGATTAAAGATAAAGTTATACTTCCCTTTAATTATTAAATAATAAGGGAGAATTTATATATATGCTTATGATCTAATAAATCTAAAGATTATTACTTTGCTGGTAACTTCTTACATGTTTCTTCTAGGTAGATCACTTTATTCAACATATGATTTAAGTGCTGCTGAAATTACTGACATACTGACCTGTGGGTAAATCATGTTTCTTTTTTCTTAGTCTGAAAAGATAATATCTGAATCATAATATATTTCCAAAACTCTAGTCAAATTGTTGAAATTTGATACTTTATTTATTTTTGGTGAGGAATCTGTTTTAACTTCAGTAGAATAAAAGCATGAATTTATGCATTATGAATATGTGTGTGATATTAATCAGGATTTGTCTTGAAACGCTAGTCAATGAACAGTGTTTATTTCAATATGGCTTGAAAAATTTTTGCTTTTTTTCTCAAAATTAAGGTAATGAATCTACAAATATGAGGACTTTGTGCAAAGATAATCACAACATTGCTTTGCAGATAAACAAATTATATTTATTAGGTGGCAGTAGGTGGCATCATTACACATAGCCTGCAAATAAAACCTCAGAGCTTCAGGGAGAGGACATTGTTCCATGAGTCCTATGTTAAGTTGCACTTTGGCTCAGACTGCAACCTTTGGAAATTTGCTTTGCCAAAGAGAGGGCAGTTTCCTTCCTTCTTTAAAATTTGAGTAAATGCTCAAGACGAAGAGATTCTCCGCATACCAGGAGTTTTTGTAATGAGATTGTTCGTGGGAGGGAGACTCACTTGCTGTTGGTTTTGGACCACGTTTTTATGGCTGCTCTGTGAATGCGTGTGCATGCTGACAAAGCAAGCCAGGTTTAAAGTCTCTTCTCACTAAGGCCTTATTTTCTCCTCCACTCGAAATTTCATGTACAAGTCCCTGAAACTACTGCTGAGCAATGAGGCAGGCCCACCATAAAGAGGGATTATTGACATTGAGAGAAGAGGGGACAGCACGCAGGGAGCATTTAAACCAGTTAAACTTGTACCATCAAAATCAGTTGTAACATTAAGTGTGTGACTGATTATATCTTTAAAACTTTAGATTTATCTGGCAGCATATGCTTAACATCATTTTAGTTTTCCACCTATCTAAATTAAAATGTGTCCTCCACAGCTTTTCCCTGGATGATGTTGCCATAAGTATTAAAATATATCTGCAGGATGAATTTTTTTTTTTAAATTTGTAGACTGCTTTGGAAAAATATTTCAATAAGTGATTTTCAGAGCTACTAATTCTGTCAGTGTGCAAACTGCAACCCATTGCAACCTAATGTGTATCTACACCATACATAGTCATAGTTATTCTGTAGCTTTCAATAAAAGCAGGAAAAGTCACACAAACAGTGGTGAGATCAGAAGCTTGTTCTCAGTGCTGATTTCAAAGACCTAGTCTGAAAGTCCTAAGAGATACTTAGGTATAAGCTAGAGATTCAAGCAACTCCACAGCGACAGCTGAGGAAGGAGCAGGACTTTATTAAGATCCAATTAATCTTGTGCTAAAGTAGCTAGCAAAAAGGGTCATGTGAATAGCATGCTAAATAAACCCACTTCTCCCCCCTTTATATACAGCAAGTCAAGGCAAATAACTTATACACGAACTTAAATTAATCTTTACATGAGAACTTCTTTGTGGATTTAGTCTAAAGTCATTAAAGTAACAGAATTCTCTTTTTATGGCTTAGTATCAGCTCTAAGGTAGGCTGTTCTGAACTTCATTTGCTGGTTTCTGATGCTGTCATCCAGCTACCAAATTCTTAATTCGTAACTATTATTACTAACTGTTATGTTCTACACCAGACATTTTTGCTTTGTTTTTGTGGGCAATTTTTAGCACATTTAACTTTTGCTCTCTAAATGCTTACACCTTTCTAGGGATACTAAAAATGTCCCTGAAATCAGTAGGTGCCTTTCACTGACTGTGCAAAACTATTACTCAAATCAAAGAAACGTAAGGGCAAAGCACTTTCCAGAATATCAGCATGGTACTAGAAATGCCATTGGGTCAAAAACCTTAAAAAACAACAAAGAACAATAATCTTGAAATAAATGAGATATGTAATCTTAAAGAAATACATGGCCTGCCTGAACTTATATCTCACTTGTCTCTTGTGATGCATGGGGGAAAAAGGGTAAATTCTTCAACACTCATATTCTGAAATCTTGAATATAGCTGCATTACGCATGGACAAAAGAAAAGTTTTGTTCTTGGTGCATCATTTCAGTGTGTCTCCAAGGCAACACTTTAAACTGTGTTGGCAAAAGGGCTCTTTGGCCACTGTAAGCTATCTTCATAAAAAATGAGAGGGAAGAGGTCCGTGGAAGAGACAGTGGCATAAATCTCTACCAGAAAGCTTTTTGATCTTGCATAAATTCTAAAGATAGCCAACACAGACTGCATAACAACTAGATCACTAGATACCCGCATGTAGCCTGTTGGCATATTAATAGGGGGAAAAAAAGCACTCTCAAGTATTTTGTACCCAAAACCTTAGTCTCATAATAAGAATCACTGGAAGGAATTTAGACAGCACAGATTTGTTTAGTGTTGGTGATGGGCCACTGCAATTTCCCATTTGAATACTATGTTTCCATGTTTTTGCCTATCCCTAACAGATACTAATTTTGTGATGCTTTATCAGGGTGACAGTTATTGACATCTAGGGAAAATGTATCATTGATTTACTGGTTTTCTGTTACTGTTGTGGAGACAGGCAAAGTATCAGGCACACTCCGAGTTTTCGCGTCAACATCTTAGGTTTATTGTGGGGCAGCTCCTTTTATAGGGCTTTGAAATTTCCCTTGCTCGCAGACATGATTGGTTAAGGAATTCCATTCTACCTAGCTCACTGGCCAATGATATCTGTGCTTCAGAGGGATTGGCTGAGGTCCTTTGTTTGGGTTTGAATCTGACCCATTGTTATCGTTATCATGTCCAAGGACTTGTTTACTTTGAGTAAGGCTGGTCAAGCTGGTATCTGTTAAGCAAAATTGTCACTGAGGCTTATAGACCCACTGTAGCTGTCATAGTTTTCCATTCACAGAGAGAGTGAAACTGAAGGACCATTGGGAAATAGGAACTAAAATTTCTTGAAAAATATTTATCCTTTACTAGTTGGAGGTAACTGCTAGGAAGATCATTTCTGATGAAGTCTTATCCCAGGTTTGTCAGAATAATGACTGCAAATGAAAAACTGAAGGCGTTTATTTGCTCTGGTTGCTGAGTTACAGGGTACGGTAAGTCCTAAGTGTAATGGGAAAGCAATGAATTCCCAAACCTTGATGTGTAATGTTCTGGTTTCAAAATGAAAGGACCAAATCAGAGAGCAATATTTTGCTAACACTTCTTAAAGAAGCCATCTCTAGCTTGGCATAATGATATGCAGGGTTTTCGGGGTCAAACACAAAGTTGTACCTCACATGCTTTCCAGTAGAAAAGACCAGGACAGTATGAGGCAGTTCCTTCCAGTGTGGTACCGCCAAGATCCTCTGGGGAGAGCTGGTCCCAGCAGGGTGGGAAAGCAACACTGGGCAATGAGTGGTCAAGGGCCATGGGTCACTGTATGTGCCATAAGCACCAAACAACTCATATGTAGCTAGTACAGCATCAGCTGGGGCCTGGCATGGCTGGAGTAACAGAAACATATGACACGGGGTGGCAGAAGTGGATCTTGCAAAAATATGGTGATAGCTGCAGCTTTCTTTCTGGTTTTGTTTAGGGTTTGTTTTTTTTGGGTGTTTGTTTGTTTGTTTGTTGGGGGTTTTGTTTTTTGGTTTTTTGGGGTTTTTTTGTTTGTTTGTTTTTTGTTTTGTTTTTTGTTTTTTTTATGAAGGAAAACTTCCCCATTTTTGTGCAGGTATTTAGTGGGTAGACATTTATTCGTGAAGCAGATATGCACTGTGATCTCCCTACTTAGGATGAAAACGTTTTCGAATCCACATCTACTGAATGTGAAGGGGGTCATGTCAGCACTCTAGAGTCTGACCTGCATCTGGTAAAAGTGATGCTTCCATGCATAGGTGAGCAGGAGAGTCAGCAAGAGGGTGTGAGGGGTTTACAGCTGGGCTAAGGCAATCAGCTGGCAGGGCCTGAAGCTTGTATGTTCTTGTTTAAGTTCATTCAGAGTGGGGAAAAAAAGCAACTTTCATCATCTTGATTAGTTCCAGATGTAATGGAGTGAGTGGAGAAGAGTTTTGAAGTGTCTCAGACTGTGTTTTCCTCTGGTTGAGATGGTACTGGCCTTCAGGATGTCATGACCAACAACAGCAGAAGTGTTGCCAATGGCATTTGTTAAAATAATTTTGGATCTGCTGCAAATACACAGTTCAACTTGTAGCATTCACTACAGAAACCATGAGTTCTCATGGACAGTATCTTTCTAGTAATTTTCATTTTTCATAATCAGCTCAGAGAAATATTTTCTTTCTACAGTGGTAGAGTGAGTCATAGTAGCACCTCTTATTTAAATGTGTTCATGTAGATACTTATATATTTGGTTTATTATGAAACAAAGACTAGACTAGAAATAAAATTGATTTTCTGGTGAACATGAAAATGCCAGCTTATTTACAACAGCAAAAAAGAGTTTGAGGATGTAAACTATTTTTTAAAAAGAGCTCATCTTAATTTGTGCCAGGTTTAAATGCCTCTAGTGGTTTTTCATAATGGGCACAACTCCTTGAGTGAGATGCCACTCAATAAACAATGACATTAAAAAAAAAACAAACAAGACTAATCCCTTATAATATGGCTTCTGGAGAAGGTTTTCACTAAAGATGTCACCAAATGACTCATATCAGAACCTGGTTGTCTGTATCCTTAGCATGACGCACAATCCATTGCTTGCAAGAAAGAACCTCTTCTGGCAACTGAGTTCTTCACAATGTTTTCTGGGGAATTGCTAAAACTTGTGGTGATTTCCTTGTTCTTCCCTGAGTGTGTTTTCCCCTGTTGCAAAGCTGTGAACATTGGAAATTACTACCACATACAATGGCCACCATCATGTCTCCTTGTGCTGTTGATCTCTCATCCTGTAAATGGCCCTGATTTATGTATTTGCTAAAGAAAAAGAGAGGATAATCTCACAGAAAGTGTTGACAGATAATCTCATGGGAGGTTAAGAAGGATTAATGTTATTTTATTGAAATAAAACTAATTTCATGTATAGAAGGGTTTATTTTGGCTAAAGAAAGAATAGATAAAATTAAAGCCTATGCAATACATTTAACTGGGTCTCTAAATGTATTTGAAAATA